GATGATGATTTGTTAAAGATACATCATGCTTTATTACCAAATAATAATATAGATAATGTTACAGATCAAAAAGAAATTATCAAAAATATTTGTAATTCTTTAAATATTACATATATAGAAAATAACGAATATCAAAATCTTGTAAACATAAAAAACTTTATTAAAAAAAGAATATTTATAAATGAATAAAGAATATATACTTATATACTTAATCTTAATTATCTTATATCTTAAAATTTATATTTATTTATTTTTTTTAATTCATATTTTCATGAGCCATTTTTTAAAATCATTTAGATGATCAATTATTTCATAGTACCCAATACTTTTCCAAATATTCACAAAATTTTCGTCAAATGATATAAGTTGTGTAATCATCAGAATTTGAGTGTTATTTTTATACCCATCTTTGAATGAATAAATATTTTCTTTATAAGGTCTTGGAGGAAACGAAATGAATTTTTTATTTAAAATTAAATCTTTTAATTTATCCATATTTTTTTGAATCATATTTGGTTTACATAAAGAACAGAATAATTCCATATCATCTCCATACAAAGAAAGATTTTCTTTAAATTCTTTTCTCGCAACATTTAATAAATAACTATATATATTAATATCCAAATCAATTCCAAAAGGTTTTGTAATAGTATTAAAACTCTTTTTAAAATTTTCATCATTAATATATCGTAATTTCAATTGTAATAATCATAATTTTCTAAACAGAGTCTTTGGATAAAATATCTGGATAAGATACCTCCTTGATTTAAAATATTTTTTATAACTTTAATTGTTAAGAAGGATGGACCGAGCTTAATGGCGTAAAATAAACTATATGCTCTCCTATAAATATGAATTAACCAGATCACTTTGTTTATAGGGTCGTTCACCAAAAAATATAATTTTTTACAAGTCAACATGAGATTCAAAAGAAATTTTATATTTTTAAAGATGTTAACAAGAATTTCATTAGGAAGTTTTACTTGCAAATAGTTTTGGTTATTCATGTTTATTAAAAAAAAATAATTTACCAAATATTATAATATTTATATATTTAATTTTGGAATCTTAATTACTAAACATAATTTAATAATATAAAATAAAATAAAATCAATTTAAATTAAATGAGTAAATATTATTTATCCTTCATTTGTCCAAGAACCTCTTTGTTTATCTATTTGTTTTAATATTTCTTCTGCTTTAACATAATCGATTTTCTTAATTTCTTTATTACATTTATTTTGAAAAGTTTCAAACATGTTTTTTAATTGTGATTCTGTAATTCCAGTTATTAAATCTATTGCAATTGTAAATGCTTTAATTTGATCTATAAGAAAATCTAAAACCATAATATTATAATATGATTCGATACGTGGTTCTCGACATTCGTTAATATAATTTTGTATTTCTTTTTTTCTTTGACCACCGGTATATGAACTTACTATTAAATCAATACCAATAGCTGCAAGTATGATGATAAAACCACTTACTACAACAGAAAAAACTCTTGGATTCCATTTGAGTTTAAACCATAATTCTTGCAAAGGAGGAATTTCTGGACAAACAGAAACTTCTGGAACAGGAACTTCTGGAACAGGAACTTCTGGAATAGGAACTTCTAGATTTTGAGGAGTAACTCTCGTACTAGTGTCTGGATGAGGATTATTACGATCCCAGATTATAACAACATCATCTTCAAATGTTATATCTATATTAGAAATATCAGGAAACAAAGTTTTTTCTATATTTAATTTTCAAAAATTATGTGCGTGATGATATGCTCTTCGAAATATTTCAAAATCTACGATAAACTCTATTGTTCTGAGAATCCAAAAAGAAGAATTTTTATAAATTTGTTTTTCGATATATGGAATTTTAGGAATATCAAGTTTTACTGATATATTATCTAATTTTTCTTTTAAAGTTTTAATACAAGAATCTAATTTTTCTTTTTTTTCAGCAAGTTCAACTATGTATAGTTTAATATCATTTTGCAACTCATTTGCTCTTTTCAATCTTTTTTTATTGTCAGGATCATCAGCAAAAATAAATAGGCGTAAACCTCCGCAAGTTTTTACGCGAGCGTAAACTTACGAAAATTTACGATTA